TATATATATAAAACAATATTTTTTATTAAATACTTTTTTTTTAAATACTTAAAAAATTTGTAATAAATACTATAAATCCTTTAAATATAATAATTTATGTATATAAATCTAAAAACTTCTTGTTCACATTAATTTGCATAAAATTATACCTATATATGTATTGTATACATTTATACGTTGGGATATTATATCTGCCATGGCAATAGTAATAATTCATTCAGTTTCTATTATCTGAACATGTAACAATCGTTAATTTTAATTTTTTCCTTATATTGCAAACACTTTAATTCATTTGCATACTTCTGATGTAAAATCGATAATAAAATCTGGAGAATCTATTCCTTTGTATCGATGAATTTTGTATCGATGTATATTATAAAATATGTATTATGTATCTCTTGAAAACATGTTCGTTTAATAAGGAATATTTATGTATATATGCTTTACGACAAAATGAAATTAAAAAATACGTAAAAGCCCTAAATATATATCATTTTATCTTAATCCCAAACAGTCAACAATATGTATGTCGAATAATTTTATCTTGGTCAGTTGTAATGAATAATTGAGCATAAATAAATAAATTGTTAAGATATTAAAATTTTATATAATTGCATCAACTAATAAATTGCCGTAGATGCACTGAAAATATATTTAAAGATACTGCTTATTGCTTTTGCACAAAATCTAACATTTTTGTACTTTTTTGTAAATTTAAGATATAATGTAACTGTTGTAATCCATTAATTATATAAATTTATATTTTTTTAATGTTTTGTAATATGGAAGGACATATATAGTACATTTAAATGATGAATATAAATTGTATAAAAATGTATTTATTTTTACAATTGAGCAACCGAGCTGCAAAACATAGATACACGTGCAAACTTATTTTATTTTAGGTTTTTAATCGCATTTACCGAAATTATTAGTGCATCACAAAATGTTTTATATTCACCATTGTAATTAATTATATATAACTATAATATTTTCAATCTCTTTTCTTGTTTGATTAATTATTACCGAGATTATTTTCATAATTTTACAAGCAGCGTGTCCCACTGCTTATTATACATTAGATAATCAAATCGATAATCTGTTTAGAACAGTTTACCACTTTGTTTGACGTACTGAGGTCAGTTGTGCTTTCTGATAGAGTTCTAAGAACATTTAAAGCAGTTTCAGATTGTCGCACAGCGCTAATTAGTTCATTACGATTACTGGGATCTGGAGTAGCGGCTAATAATGTTCCTAGTCCAACCAGAGCTCTGAACATTGCTTCGGGTTCATTTAAACGAGGCAATATGGTAAATAATATATTTAGAGCTCTCGTTCTACCAGGTGCATCGTTATATTTATTAAGCGCTACGATCAAATTCAATATATAAGTTGATATTGCAACCTGTAATGTAACATCACAATCTGTAAGCTCGTCTATCTACAAATCTTATACCGTTTTCGATTTTTCATATAAAAAAAATATCACTTTATATTAAAATAATTAATATAAAATTGAGAATTGCATCTATGATTATTTTATAAATATTTGAAAAATAATAATTATAAATATTTGTGCGATTTAAATTTTCATTAGACTTTCTTTGGTTTTTAATTATTATTTTAATAATTGATATGACATACCTGATTATTTTTGTTTCCAAGAGACTGTAGATCCAATAGAGACGTGAGTATTTCATCCTTATGATCTAAACAGAATTTCTCTCCTTTTTCATGCTGGAACATATTGGCTATCAGACGAAAAGTAAGCATTTGATTCGACAAAGCTGCATCGGATTTGATATGTCTTCGTATGATCAATAACAATTCTTCGGTACACAGTTGATCATTTACTTCTTTGTGAAGTACAGCGAGCCTTGCTATATCGAGAGCTGGGAACACTACGTGGTTGGGCCAATCTAGAGAACTTTTTAATGCGCTGATAGCACTGGTTGTGATTTCTTCAGATACTTGATTATTCATAAATTTTTCTATCGCATTCAGCTTCTCCTCTGGTATTTTTAATATATTTTCTTGTTTATTATTCAACTCATATAATTTTTCTGTAATTAATTTTATAAATGTTTAACTGATAAATAGTAAAAATTATGTTGCATTTTTCCTTTACATCTAATCTTAAATAAATCTTAATTACCGAGAATAGCAGATAAATTTGCTTGTTCTAACTTTAAATACTTCGAGTGAGGTATATAAGAGGGAGACGCAGATGTATTGGAAGAATTAAATGCCGATTGTGCACTAATATCGGGTGCACAAGATGATGCATTAGACGATGTGCCTGATCCAGGAACATATCGGCTTCCACCTGTAAAAGGATCTACATATTGCGACCCAGTATTTAAAATTGGAGATGGTTCAGAGTTCTTTACTATAAAGTTTGCAACCTGAAATACATAATCTTTTTTTCAGATTTGCGATTTTCAAATTATTTTTTAATATAAATAATGAATAAAGTATAAAAGATTATATTTACTTTTCAAAATGTATACCTGATCTAAGAATAATTGACTGAGATTATTGTCATGAAGGAACTTCTGCGCGACATGCCAGGGATCTTGGCCTTTATTGTATGGAAGTTTTAAAGGAGGCACACCGTCTTGTATGTCAACTGAAAAGACGTAATCGTATTCTATGCCATTATAAAGTTGTTTTCCAGAGGTAGCCGCTGTACCGCCGGACGCACCCATTACATCGCCAATTTTTATCCATCGTTGCTCGCTTTGCGACCAACTGTACGCTCTAACTCCATCTCCTTCATTTACAATCTTTGTTTGGCCATCTCTTTGACCAGGCTGTAGAAGAACTCTTGAATCTGGCAAACTATACACAATAAAAACTAATTATAATTGATTACAAATTAAAATAACAATACAATATATACATGAAAAATTATTTTATCCAAAACAAAATGTACTTACTCCTTTATGTTGATGTCTCCGATTATCTGCTGTGCATTTAGAGTTGTGTTCGCTACTTCTTTCTCAAATATTTCCAAAGTCTCTCTATTTGCATATCGTTCGGGGTCAGATGAGAATATCCTAATGGCTCCATCGGAACTTCCAGCGACTATGTCGCCGTTTGAGAACAAATCAATGCACCATATCGATTGTGTAGGTAGAACAATGGTTTGTTTCAGTTCCGCATTGTACCATATCCTAATAGTTCTGTCTTCTCCAGATGAATAGACGTATGTACCATTCGGGATGGCTGCTATACTATAGATATAATTCTCATGACCACAATAAGTGCCTAAACAAGTCCCAAGTTTAGCATTCCAGTGTCTTATAGTGGCATCGTTCGCACAAGATAAGAATTCATCCTCTTTAATGTCAACTATGTCGCGGACGCAGTCGGTATGACCTGTCAATTTGTGTTGCACCGAACCGTCTCTTGACCATACTATTATTAATTTGTCGGCTGATCCACTTATTATACTGCCGCTCGATAAATCTGCTACACACCATACTGCGGCAGTGTGACCCACGAGGTTCACCTGTGGTTTACTCAAGTCTTTCACATCCCATAATTTAGCAGTGAGATCCCAGGAACTCGAAAGGAATGTACCTTCTTTTTTTCCGGTCTTTAAATTACATACATTATTTTGATGCGCTGTTAGTGTATGCGCAGGTACAGTTTCATTCGCTATGTAGACACATATGGTGTTGTCATTGCTGCCGGTGATGATATAACCTTTGGGATCTCTCTCCGATGGATTTATAACGCATACTGAATTAACAAAGTTAGAGTGGCCTGTTAACATCGCGATCTGCTCGTACTCGTTGCTCCTCCTGCAAAAATTCTATGTTTCAATAAGACATCTTAAGCATTTTATTAGTCCTTCAGAGTTGACATCTACTGATATTGAGTTTGTATGACCTATTTAATATGTTATTAAAAGTCACTGATTTAACATAAAGATTATAATTGAATGACTCTAACAGATCCATATAGCAAATTTTCTAGAAATATCTTGAGGCCATAGGTCTGGACATCTTTAGGAAATTCTTTGAAGATCTGTGCTAAATGGACACCAACTGTTCTGGAGGACATAACTGAATGAGAGTCCAATCAGCTCTATGAGACCTATCAGCTCCAGAAAGTTAATCCAAAGTAATTAAAGATCACTTGCAATATCAATATTCAATTGAAAATCCTATCCATATGCGAACATCCTTCATGATCCAAAAGCTTTCAAGACTCAGGTAACTTTTCAGTTTTAAGTTAAAGTTGTTAAATTTAAGTTGTTCTGCCTCAAATTCTTTTTATATATATAAAAAAGTAGATACAAAAAACGTAGATTATATCATTGTAAAATCATATGAATGTTGAAAGAATAAACCGAAATTTTTTCAGATTTTTTAAAGTCAAAAACCCTTTGAAAAACATAATCAGGTATCAATGACTCGATTAGATTAGGAAAGCAATGAAAAAAACTGGATCAAGGAGGGTTAACCTCGCATACACAGAGAAACGCGTGTCTCTCTCTCTCTCTCTCTCTCTCTCTCTCTCTCTCAAAGACTAAAAAGGATTGAAAACTACACAAGAAGAGGCTGAAAAACTTGGATCACTCATGCGCGTTTCCGTCGGAGAATCTACATGCATACCAACCCGGTTGGTTTCCATACACGCGCTGTCTTGTCTCGGGAGACTGAAACGATGGTGCCGTCAAGGAAAGTCGCCACCGCTCTCACATCCGCGCTGTGACCAAGCAGCACACTACTGAGCTTGTACGGCGGTTTGTCCATGGTAGTACCTGTTGGTTTCTTTGGAATCAATTTCAATAAATTTTGCGAATTTATACAACCTAACACGAACCACGAGCAGGTTGGAGCAGCTCGTCTCGGCGCGAGCTCCACCGAACTCCACAGTTCACAGTCCACTCCACTGCGCTGCGATCGGTGCGATCGGCTGCGATGACAAACGCAATCCAACTTCGAGTTGCGCATGTGCACATCGTACAGATTGCAGTGCTTAATTCGGAATCGCGCTTTTGCTTTCGAATCCCAAAACAATAAATTCTTTTAAGAATTAAATGTTTCGTATATCGTCTCTGTCGTGTTATGTTCGTGGATTTTTCAGTGAATTTTCATCGATGCGTGGAAACGGAAGAAAAGTTGCGCATAGCGGAATCCGTTGTGAGGCGCACGCGCAGTCGTCATTTTAGGAACGCGTTGTTCGAAGCTAATTCTGCACTTCTGCGCGCTTCTCTATGTTTCGCTGTGCTTTCGCATCGAAAAATCACGTCGCGCTTGTATAAGAAGTACATCCCGAGAATCAAAGAAGATATCCTTACAAGGATATCTTCGAGGTATAATGTTGAGCATAATTTAGACTCTAAGATGTTATATGAGGCGAATTGCTCTTCGTACTGAGGTCGATTATGTGTCTCGAAATGAGGTGAAAATTACAAAAGTGAGCAAATTCAATGAATATTTATAAGTTAAATTTTAATTAGTCAATAACTAGTGAATTTACACAATCGATTCTTGATATGGTCTAACGACAAAGTATAATATTTGCGAAAATGATCTAATTTCTATTGAAAATACATTTGACTGCATTCAATTCATTTCCGCTTTGATCTACAAAAGTCTCTATTTTCAAGGAGATATTTGCTCACCAAAGAGGAATCGAATTGAGGATTTCGGTAAAAATATCTGAAAAATATCAATGGCTGCGTTCAGCAGATTATTTATTGCGATCAATATGCGTTCTTTGACTTTGAATTATACATATAAAAATATAAAAAATTTGAATGCGCAGGAAAGTGATGCCGAAAGCGTTCAGTGTAATGTTGGACGGATAACGGGACAACGTATAAGTGCGTATGTTTTTTGAAAACAATTTTAAAATTTCGCTGTGCGCGTAATAGACTTTCATGACGCAACTAGTTCGAGCATCGACGCGAAGTTGTCGCTATATCATACCGCGACTTTTATTTGAAAATTTCGCAACAGTCGATGCGAATGTCAACAGGACAATGATAAATATTGAGACAATATACGGAGATTATGTTCCAAAATTCATTGCCAGTGCTGAAAATGTATAATGTAATATAAACTATAGATTTTGCTATACTATATAACTATAGATTTTAGCGCGTGAATTTTGAAACATAGCAAGAGATAATGCTTAAGTGATGATAAGCTAATTTTCAAAGATTTGATTTGACGTTCAACATATTCGATATCATAATTGCTCGGACATTTTGGCGGAAAGTTGCCGTCGTGTCTCGAGTCTTTATTTAAAAAAATGTACATAATGTCGATACAATTGGAAATGCATTGGACTAACGAAACGACAAAGCGATAATAAACTGTTTTTTGAAGATAATTGATTTCGTGTAATTTGGTAATCGATATTGTAATGACTTCAATATTTTGGCGCGAAATTTTGACAATTGTTGTCGCGTTGTCTCGAGTCTTTCATTATTTAATTTAAAAAATACACATGATGATGACACAATTGGAAATGTAATGAACGAACAATAAGGTAATGCATAAGTGCGCGACGACAAACTTTTTTTTTAAGATAATTCATTTCGTATGTAATTTTTCGCGGCACGATGGTTTGAGTATCGACGCGAAGTTGCCGCTATTCGCGTTTATTTGCAAGTATTCTGTCGCGAGTGCCAATTCGGATTACGAGAGTGTAAGGAACTTTGCGATTGCAGCGTGATTTCGCATCGTCGTAAGCCGGATATTAGCAGCAAATCTTTGGTTGGAGAACCACTATCTATGAGAGAATCGGATAATCATTTCATTATCTCGTCGTCCTCTTAAAGAACATCATGGCGGTGTGGCGAAGCTGCAAGGTATCGGAATTGCAAGGTAAGGTGATTACTGCAACGCTAAAAAGTAAGTAATCTCATACAACATATACTTTATCGTAGAGATATCCTGGACATGTCCTATGAATAGGGTTATCAGTCATACTTTTTCAAAAGCCTACATAGCATAAAATATTTCAAATATATTTCCAAAATATTTCATTATAGGATTTGAACTATTTCTAAAATATGAATATAAGAAAATCAGAGTTTTTGAAAATTTTCTTTTCTTACAATATTTGTACAACATTTCTGTAATATTTTTGTGAAACAAAATTTAATGTGCCATTTTTAAAACATTTTACAAATATTTACCAAATATTTCTAAAATATTTTATTAAAATATTTTTAAAAAACTGTTTACATAAATATTTCATACTGTGTGGGACAGAACGTGTACTTTTTTGAAGTCATAAAATTTCT